CCGGGTTCCCTCCTACCACGCGCACCAAAGGCGTGCTTAGGTGGTCTACCGGTCTGACGCGAACATCGAGGAAGGAGAGTGGAGGGAATTATTTTTTTATTATTATTAATTATAATAATAATTAAATAATCATAATTAATAATTAATAACTAATTAGTAATTAATTATATTTAGTAAGTTAATAATAATTATAATTAATTAATAATTAACTATAATTAATTGAAATTAATTATAGTTTATTAAGTAATTATAATTAGTAATTGACTACTAAATATGAATTAAATATAATTAATTAATTAATTACAATCATAATTAAATAATCACTAAAAATAGTTAATCATAATAAAATAAAATAAAAATAAAACCCTCCCTCCCATCGGCCAGACCTACGGGATTTGGCCGAGAATCGCGTTCAAGGGAGAAAGTTGCCTACACAACTAGTGAGCTCCTGGTTCTTGCGTCCGATCAAAATGTCGTAACTTCTGATCTATAGGAAGGGAAGGTCGGTTGAAGGAGCGACGTCAACCAGCCACGAGGAGGTCGGGGAAGCCGCACGGAAGGTAGAGAGTTATCTTCACTACAAGCAAGCTCCGGTCGCTGCTTCCGATCGGACCAATAGGGAAAGTCGTCGAATGAGGTAGGTCTCTTCCTCTTTCCCTCTCTCTCTGTGTGGACGTCGGGCTGGACCGAACAGAACAAGGGTAACGAAACAGGGAGCTCGGTCGCTGGAGAGGAGATCGGGCGTGAGGATTTTTGTGGAGAAGAGAGGAGCGGACGCGTGAGCAGAGCGAGGTAGCGAGAGCTTTGCTCTCTAGTTTCCTTCAGTATTTAACGACTCGAACGAGTCGTGCGAGCCTTATGCAAAGGTCGTGGGTAGAGCAGCGACGATGTGGGAGAAGATCGTGCGACGTGCTTCGGTAGAGCAGGTAGCATTTGATTTTTATTTTGATTTTTAATTTTTTTTTTGTTTTGTTTGTATGGCATAACAGGTCAACAAATGCTCCCCAACAAATATGGTACATGTCTGGAGCAGACCACGTTTGTTGTATGCTGATTGACCCTATGGATCTCTAGGTATCATTCTAGATGTCACACAAGGGCTTTCATTTAGTGGATCTCCAAGAATTTGCTTGGATGTCACACTACTTTCTCTTTCTCCATAGATCTCTTGGACGTATCAATAGATGTTTGATATCTTGTCTTTATGGATTGATGCTAGTGGATAGCATATATTCCAGACTACTCAATCATTTGGCTATATCTTAATAGAATTTTAAATATTTATTTGGGGATTTCGGCATGCAGCGCAATATCGACCCGAATAAATATTTAAAATGCCCCCAGTATTTAGAGACATTTGTAGATATCATCTAGGGTGCTCATTCTACAACTTTTGCTAGAGTCCCAAGACTTTGATTCCTTCTGTCCTGTGCTTTGTGCTACGGACTTGGTGAAGGGTCGTTTGATTTGTCCTTACTGACTTGTCAGAAATTTTGTATTCCTTCTGCCCTTTGCTTCTATCTTTGGCGGGCTTGATGAAGGAGTAGATGCCGGTGATCTAAACCCTTAGGTTTATATTAGATCTGTGGCGAAAAGTCATCGATCCAGAGCTTTGTGCATAGTGGACTTATTGATGATGAATCCTTTTAGTTCAATCCTATGCTTTTCTTGAACTTTGAGATAGTTTTCTTCGGTCCTTTGCTTTGTGCTTTGACGGACTTGTTGAAAAAAAATTCCTTCGATCCTAGCTTTGTGCTTTACGGATTTGTTGAAGGATTTGTAGGTTCTGGATTCAGTTGATAGTACCGAACGTAGGTAGTATCTTGATCCTAAACCACTTGGGAAGACTTTAATCTGAGTCACTTGAGTTCATCAGATCGGGAGAGCTGGGATTTGACAGCTCTTCGTCCTCTAGTTGCTGAGATGGGGGTTCCTCTACTACGACCTTTCTTATGGCTTGTTGAGTAGATGAAGCTGCCAGCGATCCGGCCATATTTGGGCTTGTTGGATCCGACCTCTTACACCCATTCAGGCTTCAGACTTGAGCTATGGGAATTGCGCTTCCCAATGCTGATTTTGCTGAAGTTGGTAGATTTGGAGTCATCCTTTGTGGTTGTAGATTTTTGGAGCCTACGAACATTCAGTGGTTATTCGAGACTCATCCTTCGACTGGAACTTTGATTCTCCAGTCATTTAGAAGAATTTTGTAGACTACGATCACTTGAACTAGTCGAGTTAAATTGGCCTTCGTTCTTCCTACAGTCCATACTAACGAGTTGATGAAGTGGGGGTTCCGCTA